ACACACACACACACACACACACGCACACACACACACACACACACACGCACACACAGGGGCTGCTGATCTCCAACGTACTCATGACAACAAATTAATTCCTTACAATGTAATGACTGTCAGGGCTCATCTGGGTGTGATAACACTTTAATTAGTGAAAGCCAGGTCTGATTAGCTCCCAGAGTCCAGCCCAGGAGGAAACCATGTCAGCTTCTACACTAATTATATCAAAAGTCAATTACAGCATCTCTTCTCCTGTTCATTCATCAACACATGATGGGACAGACAGCAGCTGGTGCAGGATCCTCATCCTGCTTCAACCCTTTCATTCAAAGATTTCCTCACATCAAGACTGAATCCATTTGAACCCTGTTGTTTTTATTATCAGAGTACTGGGTCTTATTTCTCTGGTAAACTCATTCAGTTTCCTACCAGACTCTCTGGAGATCTGGACGAAGGCCTCGACCCCGCTCTCGCCGTAGTTTCCCTCGGAGGCGAGCGTGGACACGTAGTTCCAGCCCATTGCTGTGACGATGTCCAGCATGGCCTGAGCCTGGTAGGAGTCTGGAGGAACCACGCGGGAGAAGAAGTCGTAGCGCGTGTTGTCGCTGAGCTCGGGGGCGGTCGAGGCGTAGCTGATCTGAGGAATCTGTGGAAACGGAACAAACGTTCAGCCTCTGGTGCAGCAGCCAGTTTCACAACATCCTGGAAATAATAAATATTCAACTTTTACAGCAAATAACAGAAACTTCACTGGTTTTAGTGAAGCACACTTTCATTAAAAAAAGTTCCCATTATCTTCAGTAGGAAAAACACTAAAACTGCAAAAAATGTCCACCTAACCAAGTTTTAAAATCTTATATCAGCCAAAAAGTCTTTTTGATCTTGTTTTGAGACTGATTTACTAAACAAGAACTGATTGTGTAAGAATAATAATCTTGTTTTCAAGATGTATAAGATTATTTGTCTTGTTCGCCTGAAAATTTGACTCAAATTAAGTAAAACTTTCTGCCAATGGAGTAAGAAAATTTTACTTGGTAAGATTCTTGAAATACTTGATTTGACTTTTTTTTCTTATTTCAAGTCTCTCCTCTCAGCTGACTTCAGCCGAGGCTGGGGGTAGGGTTGGGGGTGCTGCACGAGGCTTCAGTGAGTCGGACGGCTTTAGGAAAGGGGAGGGGCTCACCTCCGTGCTCGCTGCTTGCGGAGGAACAGAGGAGGAAAGGAAAAAAACTGCTTGGAGAATGCTGTCGACAAAGCTCCTAAAAGTCTCTAAAAACACCGGGGCTAGATTTGTCTGACAAATCTAGCGAATTTTTTTCACCAAAAAGTCACTAAAGGGGTCTAAAAAGTTGTTAGATCTAGTGACAAAGTCGCTAAGTTGGCAACACTACCTATCCACGTCATCATTTACCCAGAATGCTTTGCGTGTAAATAAAATGGCCCCATCCGTGTAATATATTTTTAAACTCTTAGTTTAAAAATTATAAAAACTAAACAGCCTATAGTATTTTTACAGTCATTATTTTACAGTTAAAATATATGTTTATCAAATAAAGTCCTTTTTTTTTTATGGCCTCCCTTTTCCCCCTATAGCCATCCTCTCCACACCATTATTATGTTTTTTTTAATAATAGGAGAAAAAGAAGAAAAAAGAAAAAAGTGAAATGCA